CCATGTGCACTTGTGTACCGCTTCGTTTTCGTTTTTGTTTTTGTTTTTGTTTTTGTTTTTGTTTTTGTTTTCTTGGATGAGCATGTGTTACTTCTATAATAATTTCAAAAGGCAAAACCATATCCAGTGTTGGAGGTTAGGTACCTTACCCTAACCCAACTCTATAAACTACCTTTCATCTCTCTCTTTCTGGAGACTATTTTCACTTGTTTTCAAGAAAAAGATGAAAGAAGAAACCAAATGACAGGAAGAGAAATTTAAAGTCTTATGAACAAAGAGCCATAAGAGTCTGAATGTCTGGGACAGGCCACCGCAGGAATGTTAGCTGTGACCCTTTGCTGCACCCTTTCCTGTGGCAGGGGTGCTCTGTGTCCAGACACCATTGGCACACAAAAAAAGCAGCAACCCCTATTGGGGGCATTGGTCACTTTCTGCGGGGGCATAATTATCATTCTTTTCTCTGGTAACCTGTGACCTTCAGTGGTGGCACCATAATAGAAGTTTGTGCCCACCTATGTTCCTGTTATATTTACCATCACACTTCTCCTGCCCGGGCATTTTTAACCCCAGGTTCGTGACACCCACTCACCCAGAGATATATGAATAGAAATCAGGGTTCTATATATCTGGACGGGGAAAAAAATTACATCTTCATTTTCAGTCACCTTTAATCTAAATTTTGCATTTCCTTTACTTATGGGTGATAAAAATTAGTACTGGTGACAACGTCACCAACAAAAATCATAAATCCCTTCATCTCACAGATGTTGCAGATCTTTTGAAAAAATCGTTTACGTATCACCGTGTAGAAATTATGGTAGTAAATCATTTAATGTGTTTAAAAAAAGAAAGTGCATTATTACTGCGTTGCATTTTTAAATTATTTTAGTAAGTATTAATTATAATTGATCATTTTTATGTGTCCATGTATTTCAATTCATGCACTTAAAATAATTATTTTGAGAAGGGAACCAAAAACTTTTTATCTTATGTGTTTAAAATTATTGCTCCGGGGTAGAGTCCTTCCCTAGACTTCCCCAGACTGTCAAAAGAGTCCATGGCACAAAAAAGGTTATGGACCCTGACCCATCAGGAGTCCGTGGTGACAGGATGCATAAATACAGAGGCATGGGACACAGGCTGTGCCACTGATTCCCTGCGTGACCTTGGGACAACATGCTTTACCTCTGTTTTGACATCTATCAGATGTCTTCTGCTTCTGTGGCATCTGGTGTATTTTTCAAGCTCTTAAATTATTCTGAAATCAAGCTTAGCAGTAATCAGTCCTTACAACTGGGAAAACACTAAATGCAATTTTCCTTTGATTTAATAAGTACTTTAGTAATTTTCCAGTGACCGCTGCTTTGAATTTTCCAGCTTGTTAAATCGCTGATTTCAATTTCCCCCTGTGGAGAAAAGTAACACCCTTGAGGATAAATCAACAAGGAATTATTAAGCGCCTTCCAGGAGGGCAGGCTACATTTCTGAAGCCTGTCTTTTCCTCTCCTTATTTCCTCTGTCTGCTTCTAGCACAATAGGATTGAGCCCTCTTAGAAGAGAACACCAGTTAGTTTATCCTGCCTAATCTTTTTCTTCCCAGCTTGAAAAAGATGGCCCCTGGCCCCCACCCCCGCCCCTGCTCCCCCAAGGGACTAGAGTTGACTTAGTGAGTGAGCTAACCCCTCTTTTGACAAGAGAAGCTTGAAAGTAACTTTGCTCCCACAGTCCTGGCTGCAGAGCAGCCGGCCTCGGTGTGAGCAAAACTGGATAGTTTTCTATCTTAAAATCCCATGATTTAAGCTCAGACTGTCATATTTCAGTTTTAGTTGGTTACAGTTCTGACAACACTCCTATTTTCATTGTAGGTGAAAGACTAGGTTATTTAGAAATGAGGTAAGTTAGATAATAAAAAGCAATAGGCAGGTCATTGTGGCATTTCAGAGCAGAAAGAGGCCTTCGGTATCACCTTGTGCACCCCCTTGGTCGGTCGGGAATCCCCCTGGAATGCCTGGGGTAGGTGCTGTTTCTCTGCCCCTACAGCCCCTGTGCTTCTCTCTCCATTCACAAGGCATTGGTTTCCTCGGTATCCAGCAGCCAGCACAGCGTCCGGCACACGGGGTCAGTAAGTGTTGATACCTAAGCTCGGAGCGCATATGATTGTAATTGGATCATGGGTCCTACTAAGAGTGTCTCCACAGAGAAAGGAAGTAGACCTGAGTGGCTGCTGGAGGGAGCCTGAAGCCAGCCAGTCAGATTGGGCCCCCATGCTTCCCCTTACCACTGGTTCTCAGCACAGCAATCTGTCTCCAACCAGGCAGAAACAGGAAAGGCAACAAAAACAGGGATGGGGAAATGTCCTGGGAGCATGCAGGTAATTGAAAAATGCTATTCTTTGGAGTAATGACACTTCCCATCTGCTAAGGGAAGAGAATCCTTGTATTTATTAGGCACCTATGTAGCGGGCACATACTGTCTCATTTATGTATTCGTATGCATCACGTAATGTATTATTTAATCCTCACAAGAACCCTGATGATGGCTTTATTTCCATTTTCCAGAGAAGAAATCAGTTAAAGAAGTTAACTGATTTTCAAAGACTCATATATCTAAGAAATGGAGAGCTGGGATTTAAAGCCAGGTCTTTCTACATTAAAGCCCATAAGGTTTCTTAGTTTTTTCCTATTATGAAGCAAATAATATATGAATCTTTTCTTATTATAAAAATGTAAAATGTTACCCAACTGTATCAAATAATACACACCCATCTCCTTTTTCTATCTTTTTTTTCTAAAGTTTATTTATTTATTTTGAGATGGGGGAGGGGGTAGCGGGGGAGGGAGGGAAGTGCAGAGGGAGAGGGAGAGAGACTCCCAAGCAGGCTCCACGCTCAGTGCAGAGCCAGACTCGGGGCTCTACGCAGGGCTGGATATGGGGATTGAACTCAACAACTGTGAGATCATGACCTGAGCTGAAATTAAGAGTTGGACACTTAACCAACTGAGCTACTCATGCGCCCCACTCATCTCCTTTTTCTGTCTTCCCCCAACCCCCTGCCCTCCCCCAAGGAACCATGTCAACAGTTTGGCCTGAATCCTTCTAAGTATTATGTTCTACATCCACACACACACACCTGTATGTCCATATACTCTTACAGAGCACAACAAACAAATACGTAAATCAGGCTCAGACCTTTTCTATTACACTGTAGCTTCTTTATTAGGGAAAAAAAAATCGCTAAATTACAATGAACATTTACCTTCCCCTGTTTTATTTGTCGAGATAATAACTGTAATCACCTAACATTTATTGAGCACTTCCTGTGTGCCATTTTGCTAAAGTGGTTTACGTGGATCATTTTATTTGTCCTCACAGGTAGTACCTGGAGTCACCCTTTACTTATGAGGCATTTGATGGACAGAGAGTTGAAGTAGATTGCTCAGGGTCACACAGCTAGGAGGAGCAGAACCTAAAGCCAAACCGGGGTTCTGGCTCCAAAGCCTATGTTTCTAACCACCATGCAGATGCTTCCATTGGCGACCGACCCCTATAGAGTCAGGGCTCGATGGTAACAGCGTGGCTTGTTCTAATGAACCGAGACCATCATTTGGTCCCTACAGAAGGGCAGACGTGCCAGCACACGTGTAGTGAAATGACACCTGGGACATGTTGGCCTCCCTCAGCCAATCCCAGCAGTGTCTATAGTACTGTCACTACAACCAACACTGCTTGCGTATGTATGTAGCGTGAGTGCCTGGCACAAAACAAATGCTCTGTTTGCTCTTGTTTCCCTTAGTTTATAGTTCACAGAATGCTTTCACATGCAACATTCCCCTCAATCCTTACAGCAAGCTATGAGGAGAGGATGGTATAATTACACCCATTGTAGATAGCTAAGGAACTGAGGCTCAGGTTGGTGAAGTGACTTAGGCAGTGCCTCACAGCTGGTTGGTGTTTGGTGCTGTGATGAGAACACACGCGCTCTGAAGGGAAGGGTGGCTCTTCCCCTGTGCTAAACTCCTGCTCTACCTTCCCCCAGGATTGCAGGGATCCGGGGAGCGTTCTGCTTCTTTATCATACAGAGTTTAGATAGGGATGAGGGTGTTCCTACTTGGAGAGTAGAGCAGTGGTGTTCAAAGTCCGCCACATGCCAAGTTCACGGAGAGGTTTGTTCGTTGATGCACCATCCGTGTTCCCATTCACACATGTTAATCCAAGCTGTCTGCAAAAAGGGGACCATGCCTCTAAGAGTTAAAAATGGCAAAGTAAGATTTGGCAGTAGATGGTGATAATCAACTGTCCTGGAGTTGGAAAGGTCACCTGAGTTTCGGCTCGTGGAGGCCCGAACATCTTCTACGGCATCCATGGTAAATCGTCACCCTCACTTTCTCTTTGTCCTTTCTTCTTGTCATGCTGAATATCCCCACTGTGTTTTTCATAAAAGAGGGTCTGAAGACTCTTCACCACTCTGTTCATACTCCCCTAAATGTGGTCCAGTCTGGATATTTTAGCTTTTGCACAGTGAGGTCCAACCCTCCAGGTGAGGTCTGCCAGCTAAGAGGAGAGCTGTGCTATCATCTCCATTCCCACAATTATCTTATTAGTGGAATCTAGAATCATGGCTTTTACTTTTTGAGAATCCATATTCGACTCCCTGTTGGCTAAATATAGATTTTATTTGCACAAGTACTTAAACCTATACTGTGCCTGGTTCTGGACAATTAGGAAGAGTTGGTTATAAAAGCAGTAGTGAGGGTTCTGGGGTAAAACGACCTTGTAACAGGGGGCTTTGAAACAGCTAGGGAGAAAAAGGCTGAAAGGTATTGTTCTTACCCTGTCCTTTCTTCTGCCACGTTTTCTTCCCTTACCCAAAGGAAGACTCAGAAAAACCTAAAAATGAGGAAGTGAATTTCCTAAAACCCGGGTCAAGAAGAACTGACATCCCAAATTCTTGGCAGGACATGTGATGCCCAATAGCCCTCTTATCAGGTATTGGCCCTTAGGGCCCTTTCTCTTTCCTGTCTCAGGAACTCGAACATGACCAGGAAGATCTTCACAAATAGCAGGGAGCGGTGGAGACAGCAGAATGTCAACAGCGCCTTTGCCAAGCTGAGGAAGCTCATTCCCACTCACCCTCCGGACAAAAAGCTGAGCAAAAATGAAACCCTTCGCCTGGCAATGAGGTATATCAACTTCTTGGTCAAGGTCTTGGGGGAGCAAACCCTGCAGCAAACGGGAGTGACCGCTCAGGGAAACATTCTGGGACTCTTTCCCCAAGGATCCCACCTGCCGGACAGGACTCTGCTTGGTGACTACCAGGTTCCTTCACTTGACCCAAGCCACCACATTGCATAGTGGGGCTCTGGCTGTCATCACCCAGAGGGGCACTTGCTCAGAAGCCACTGGCTGAGTGACCGCCTTTTGCATGTTCCAGAGTCAACTTGATGAATAAATTTGGGAGGCATGAATTTAAGCCTCATAGGAGGTAGCTTGGGGCCAGCTGCAGGGAGCCAAAAAGAGGCCATGAGGAATGTGGCTTTGGAGTCTGTCACCCCCCCCCGGGCGGGGGGGGGGGGGGGGGTGGTGGGACACTTCAGGCGAAGCAGCCTGCCTCTATTTCATTTATCCAGGATCTGCATAATGTTTGGAAAAGAAAAGCATCGGTTAAAAACAGGTTGGAAAATCACTGTTTTACTCAATATGTTTTCAATTACAAGGAAGAAGTTTTTCCATAACAGATCTCAGGCCGATGAATAAAAAATGCTTCCCTCAGAACATATTTTAAAGTTAGTTTTGAGAAATGAAGTCTGTTTGATGGAGGGTGAACAAAATAAGGTTGATGAATGTGAAGACCGCCCTCACAGAAACGAACTTGGAGACTTGTGGGAAACTCTGGAGAAGAGATCCTCCTGACATGTGAGGCTTACAGGAACACAGCAGATACATGTGGAAGAGCTCTGCATCCTTTATCTCTATGGAAATGTGAGGTGTTGCTCGCATTGAGCCATTTATATATGTGTTATCTCTAAAGCCAAATGGTGGATTATATCTGTGAGTGGAAAGGACTGGATAATTTGTGATTTAGAGTTCATAGTTTTCTTATGAAAAATAGTTAGCTAAAATAGGTTATCTGCCCCCTTAGTTTCGCATGTCAGGCGTTAAAACTTTTAACGCAGCCTGAGTTCCTGCTGATTTAAGACCTGTGAAATTCAAACATAATTATGAAAATCCAAACATTGCCATTTAACAACTCATTTAACAGAGAGCTTAGTTTAAACAAAAGATCTAGGGTAGACAATAGGAATGTAATACCAGATTTTAGTGAATTAGTGAATTTGTAATTTGTCTTCCTTGCTGTGGAGCGTTAGCTCAATCTTATGCTGGGAGGGGTGGGACCCCCTAGTCAATGAAACGGCATGGATCTGACAGAACTACTCATAAGCATGTGCCACCCTGATGATTGGATTCAAAGGCGGATTCAAAAATGAATCCCATAGCTGAGCCCAGAATACAAATAATGTCATTTGATTGTCTCTGGGACATTTTATTCCCCTAAAGTTCTTGACGGTGCGTTGGTTTTAAAACATTCTGAACCACAGGTAGGAAATTGCTGGATTTGCGATTACAGATTTCCAGTGTACACACAATAGGGGGATTTAAATTTCCTCTTACTCTAGAAAGAAGATGTTTGATTTATGGGAGGTTGAAAAGGTTTAGTTTGGTGATCAGAAGAAAGCTAGATGAGGCTCCCCCCAAATCTCATTCCCCACAAATAGCAAGGTCATAATATCATTAACCTCTACCCAGCACTCACGCTCATAGTCCAGTGCATTTATCAGAAGCAATATGTTTTCCTTCTAGGTTCTTTCTTTCAACTGCATTCCATAAACTTCCCTATGGATCCAGAATAGTACAGGGAAACACATCTGCACAGAGACTAGGCTATTTCCCCTGAATGTGCATTTCTCTCTCATGAGGTTATGTGGGCTTAAATGTATCAAATTACCAACTGATAGTATATCTCAAAGCTGCGATGACAGTTGTCAACTGAACAACATTACTTATTCTCTCATCTGGCATTAAATCAAAATAACAATTTTGACAATATTTTTTTATTAGCTTCATTGTGACATGTTGCCGAGGAAAGTACAGAAGACTTCTTTGCCTGAATGCAGGATTTTATTGCTCTTCTCAGAATGAGTGCACTTTTCTGCTGTTGGGGCCATGTCTGTGTGTACAGAAGGCCTTCTCACTGAAATGTAAGAGAGTGCTCCTGAAAAGCCATGAGGAGATTGAGTTATCATTAAACTATATGAGGGGGGTAATGATTTAAAGAAACTCTGCAGGAAATTCCATTGAAAAATGAATAAACACTTAAAATATTACTTGGTGTAATTCACCTCTTAAATTATGTTGCAAGCTTAGATTTTGGTCTATCAGGTTATGCTGGATTAAAGTGACTGTCAAAAGGAATTGTAGGTACACATGGATCAAAATGTTTGGCAAGGTATCCATGAGGCCAGATGCTAATTGAAAAACTACTCTGTGGTCTTCCTTGCTGTCTTAGGCTCAAGGCTTGGTGATTGCAGTAGTAAGAATTTATGGTTAAAACACATTACAGTTCACTGATGGTACATCTCTTTATGGATCATTTGAACCCAACAGAAAAAGTTTAGACAGATTATATCATCTATGCTACTCTGTTACTTGGAAAAAATGTTTGGTCTGCTATGGATACCACTGGAAACTTTTGGAAACCAGGCATAAACGGGACCATTGATTTATAGAGATTGTTAGATTGGCTAGTTTTACTCCTCATTTTATAGGGGACAAAACAGGTCCAGAGACTTGTGAAGTGACTTTCCAGAGATCCCATGGACAATTAGTGGAAAGCTGGGACACAGTGCCTGATTTCCTGGCCCTGTGTACGACCTTTCTACAGCCCTGTTCAGCCACTACGTTTTTTAGAATTGAAAATGGATAAGCACCTTATTGTTATGCTCATCTCTTTTCAACAGTGTTCAGTAATCTTCTTCATATGCCTTTTTATTCAAATTAAATTATTATGCTTTATAGAATGTGATTAGATGTATTAACCAAAGATTTTTTTGTTGATGTGTTTTATGAGTTTTTAACCATTGAATTTGCTATTTAACTATTAATTTATTGCGAATAAATTATTTAAGAAAAACTGTTCTTTAAAAAAAAGAATTTAATAAATTTACTAAGCACATCCACCTGTTCTCTCCATCCTCACAGCCACTGTTCTGGCTTTGACACCCCCCCCCCCCCGCACCCTGGATATAATGAAACAAACACTCCTTCGTCTCTCTCTCTCTCTCTCTCTCTCTCTCTCTCTCTCTCTCTCTTTCTCTCTCTCTCTCCCTCTGGCTCTCTTTACTTCACCTTTCACACAGCTCCCCCATTGTCCTTCTCAAATCACAGCTGTGGTCAGATCACTCCCCAGCTATCAAACCTTCAGTGTCTCGTCCACCAGACTGAGACATATGCCTTACCCCAGTAAACCAGGCACTCTGCAACCTGGTCCTTCCTTGTACTTTCCACAGTCTCCTAAGTATATTGTACATGCCAATGAAACTACTTCACTTGATGGTCCCCAAACATGTCCCACTTCTTAATACCTCTGACTTTTCTCTTGTGACTCCACTTGCACACATGAATGTTCCCATTCTCTCTTGTTCTTTTTTCTTAAGTTTATTTATTTTTTTGAGAGAGATAGAGAACAGCATGAGTGGGGGAGGGGAAGAGAGACAGGGAGAGAGAGAACCCCAAACAGACTCTGCAGTGCAGACCCCGATGTGGGGCTAGAACTCACGAAACCATGAGATCATGACCTGAGCTGAAACCAAGAGTTGGACGCTTAACCGGCTGAGCCACCCTGGCACCCCCCATTCTCTCTTGTTCTACTTGTCCCTCCACCCGCACCAAATTCCACTCACTAAAATCCTTCATGACTGATCTTAAACACCACTCCTTCACAAAGCCTGCCTCCTTGTAAACACCATGCACATGAAGTCCTCCTAGATTTCCACCATTTAATCTGATCTCTCCTTTCTTAGAATCCCCTTTTGTGCTTCATGACCCTTATTTCCTCTAGTCAATGTTACAGACATCTGTGTATATGCTGTCCCCCTTCCCAAGTAAGCTAAGATCTTGAGGAGAAGGATAGTTTCTAATATTTACTCCTCATAACAGCCCTGCAAGAGACTTCACTTTCAAAATGAGAAAACTGTAATCAGGACTGCCTCTGTTAAGAATATTCCCCTAGCCTCTCCTAAAAGACAACATTGAAATGAAACTTGATCAGACTGAATTTTCCTGAGAAACCCAAAGTCTAATGCCCTTCTTAAATGTTTGTTTCTCATCATTTCTATTCAATATACCCCTTGTAGCACCTGCCTGAGGAAGTTTCACCACCTAAGAATGGCTTGAGATGGCCGAAATATGTATAAGTTATGCACAACCGGCTTTGTCCTTAAGAAGGCAAAAGATGAAAAGGGTCCGGGAGAATGGACAGCTTAACTGCTGACCCACAGGTCAAAGGTTGGTTAAAAGTCACATCCTTAAATAAAAAGGTCAGAGATAAGGAGGGAATCTAAAAGTCCAATGGCAATGCAAAGCAAGGGATTTAAAATGGCAGGTGTTAGAAAGGAACACCAAGGAATGAATGCACTCAAGGGATTGCAGGAGGCCAGGAGCACAGTCTCCTAAAACACTGTCACTTCTGTGGCCATTACGTTTCTCATAAAGAGGGAAACTTTGCCTTTTATCTTCTCTTTCTTGCCAAAGACCTATCACAAAGAGATCTTAAAGAGCACTAGATTTTAACAAAATAGACATAAATTTATTTAGGTTTGTAATCTACCAAATAAATTTACTCTAAGAATTTAATTTCCAGAGCTCACGAATTGCTGGTAGTCAAGTAAAGCAAGCTGTTGAATTGTGTTATCTGGAAAAATCTGAAAAACAGGATTATTATTCAATATGTTCATACACTTGGACCTAAGTAATTATCCTTCTGGGAACCTGTCACAAAGAATTAATCAGAATCATGGCCAAAGAAGTATGTACATGGATCTCTATGTCAGAATTTTACGAAGTACATAAAATGATAATAATAAGAGTAAGAGCTAAGTCTTGCTGAGTGCTTACTATATTCCAGGCACTGTGCCAAGAGCTTCCAATGTATCAGCTCACCTGTCTTCATAGCGATGTTGTATTGTTAACATTATATTAATTACATGTGTCATTCTCACTTCCCAGCTGAGGAAACTGAAGTTTAGGAAATTACTTATCTTGTTCCAGTTTTCTCTGCAGAGTTAGAATTTGACCCTCAGTCATTTTTACTCAGAATTACTGCTTTTCATGGACAGACTTTTTTTTTTTTTTTTTTGCGTCAGAATTCTTCCTTCATTTTTATTTTTAAATTTTAAAAATGTATAGGGACACCTGGGCGCCTCAGTCAGTTAAGCGTCTGACTTCAGCTCAGGTCTTGATCTTGTGGTTCGTGAGTTCCAGCCCGGCATCGGGCTGTATAGTGACAGCTCAGAGCCTGGAGCCTAGTTGGGATTCCGTCTCCCTCTGTCTCTGCCCCTCCCCCACTCACGCTCTGTCTCTGTCTCTCTCTCTCAAAAAGAAATAAACATTAACAATTTTTTAATTTATTATTCTTTTATTGAAGTATAGTTGACACACAATGCTACATTAGTTTCAGGTGTAGGAATTCCTAAATTTTTAAAATCCTGACCACCATAATGGAACATCGTGGACCAGGAATATTACCCAATAACACTACTGGGTAATCAAACACAACCCCAAAAAACGAAGGGTCCTGTTTAGAAGCACCAAGCTGGGGATAATATTATGATAAGACTCCACGAGGACACTGTCCTGCAGAAGCAGGCTGGGGTGTTCGCCTGCAGGAGAAACTATTTGTTCCTCTGTTTGGATTTGCTTCCCACCTCTTCCTCCGCCCGGGCTTAAGCATGCCGATGGTTCAGGGCATTGGTACTTGTGTGTGTGTGTGTGTGTGTGTGTGTGTGTGTGTGTATTTGCTCATGCACAAGGTAGGAAATCTGCTCCTCCACATCTCCTACCTGTCCTCCGTCTGGTTTTAGCTCCTCTGGAATTGAGGAAGAAGGAGGGTCTAAGGAAATGAACAGTGTTTTTGTTCACTGGTTTGGGTTGCATTCTTTTCCTATATTCCATTTAGACTGTTTGTATCAATTCTTCTTAACTGGTGATAGAAGCCCCAGGTTTAGAAACACTGTGGAACAGCAGAGAATTAAATCTCTCGGATTCATCAAGACTCTATCTTGCACGTAATCTTATGGCCACCGTGGCCCTTTTCCCCCAGTCTGGGAGAAGTGGAGTGCTGTGCTGAATATTTTGCATTGGCTCCAGTAGCCAAATCACTTCAGTGTATTTTTTGTATCTTTCACTAAATAAACCAAGATTTAATTTTACCTTATGGTGTGTGTATGTGTGTGTGTGCATGTAAGGATATGTGTACACGTTCCTCTTCCCTCCAACCAGTAGAACACATGAGAGCGTACAATTATGTCAACAGTTGGGAAGCATCAATCCAATTGCACCCCATACAGGCAGTGCACAAAGAATGGATTTTGAAGGATTTAAAAAATGCAACAACAGTGACCGGCAAATATGTGGAAGGGGATGAGCTAATCAGTTACATGAGACTATTGGGTCTCTAAGAGAAGTTTCATATTAGTGACGTCTTTCAGTCTTCCCTTCAACGCCTTTCAGTTTGGACCAATGGGTAACCAGATAAAGCTAAAGGTGAGGATCTGAGGTGCCTGGGTGGCTCAGTTGGCTAAGCATCTGACTCTAGATTTTGACTCAGGTCATGATCTCATGGTTTGTGAATTCGAGCCCCACAATGGGTTCTTCACTGATAGAGTAAAGTCTGCTTGGGATTCTCTCTCTCCCTCTATCTCTGTCCCTTTCCCACTCATGCTCTCTCTCTCTCTTTCTCAAAATAAATAAATAAAATTAAAGAAAAAGGTGAGGATCTGTTGGCCTGAGATCCAATTTCTTGGTGTCTCTTAAACACTCTACCCAAGGAAGTAGAGGTCATTGATCACAAGATCTACGTGATCAAAGAGATCACAAAATGAGCCAAATCCCATAAGGAGAAGCCTGGGGTTAAGAACTGTAACCAGGTGTCCTGGGAGGTCCTCAGGCTTCTCACATGGTATTGTACTATTCTGGATGGGGCAGGCCCCAGAGATGCCCCTCCTCCATGCCTGCTAGAGCATTCTGGGCAAAAACTGGATACCCGTTTAGCTTCCAAACAGTATGTGAGAGGAGAGCCCTAGATGTTCTCTGAGCTCGATCTCCCTGC